TACTCGAACATTAAAAAGAATTCATTTGAATCAGTTCTAATGAGATGGATGAAACTGGAGCCCATTATACAGAGTGAAGTAAGCCAGAAAGATAAAGACCATTACAATATACTAACAATATACTAACACTTATATATGGAATTTAGAAAGATGGTAATGATAACCCTATATGCAAAACAGAAAAAGAAACACAGATGTGTAGAACAAACTTTTGGACTCTGTGGGAGAAGGCGAGGGTGGGATGTTTCAAGAGAACAGCATCGAAACATATATATTATCAAGGGTGAAACAGATCACCAGCCCAGGTTGGATGCATGAGACAGGTGCTCGGACCTGGTGCACTAGGAAGACCCAGAGGGATCGGGTGGAGAGGGAGGTGGGAGGGATATAGGGATGGGGAATACATGTAAATCCATGGCTAATTCATGTCAATGTATGACAAAAACCACTCCAATATTGTAAGGTAATTAGCCTCCAACTAATAAAAATAAATGAAAAAAAAAAAAGAGAAATTTCCTGCTCTCCCTGCACTTGCCTCTGCAGAGCAGAAGCTCATTTGCCACTCAGTGTTCTGATGAATTTCATAACAGAAAGGATCATGATTTGACATATAAGGTTTTTTAGAGGGGTGAAGAAATGTAGGTATACAAGTCTTTTGGAGTAAAACATTCTGGTGGAAAATGGACACCATTGACCACAAATGTGTAAACTCTTTGTACTCATGAATGGTGATCCTTTCCAAAAAACTCATGTAACTGGGTCCCCACGTTCAGGTGAGGAAATTGCAGATGACTTGCCCCAGGACACAAAGTATTTGAGTGTTAGGATCAGGATAAGTCACAACCCATTTAATCAATACCTTATTCTGCCTATTATTCTGACAATGCAGAGAACTGGGGAGGGGTTCTGAGTGCTCCACCCCACATAATATAATTACAGAGCCCTGACCCTCATAGTAGACACAAATGGTAGGAAAAAATCAGTTTGAGATTTGTCCCTGATTCCAAACATGCAGGGTCTCCACCAACAGTACCCAGTTCTCCCTAACCCACTGGGCATCTAGGAGTCAATTCACTTCTGACACTAAATCCACAGAGGTGACCCAGATCTCACAAGGGAGGGCTTGGTCCCTGAGGACTGCCATACTTTCAAGTGTTGATAAAAGTCCTGCCATCACTTACATGTGTGACCAACTGGCTATAAATTCAGAGGTTCCATGACCCATCTGCCATATTTAATTATTTATTAGAAACCCTCACAGAACTCAGAAAAGCCCTTTACTTACTGCCCCACGTTACTATAAAGCATAAAACTCAGGGAAAGCCAAATGGAGGAGAAGTGTAGGATAAATGGAGAGTTGGAGACGCTCAGCCTCCAGGCCCTCTTAGGGTTCTTCCCATTCTCAATCTCTTGATGGGATCACCTCTTCTGAAGCTCTCTGAACCAAATGTTCATGTATTTTAATTGAGGGTTGGAGGTAGGAAAGCTGATTGAATCTTTGGCCACTGGTGATTAAACTCAGTATCAGTCCCCTCTCCTATTCCCAGAGGGAATGGGGGTTAACAGTTTAAACCTTCTAATTACCTGATGATGTGTTCTGGAGTCCAGTCCCATCCAGACACTATCTCAGGTCCCATCCTTCACTCATCTCATGATTTTGAATATACAGAAAATTCCAAGTGTTTCAGGGGTCCTAGGGCATGAATGGAGACAGGGATCAAATTTGCAACTTGTTATGATACTACAGTAGGTACAAGGAATAGGATCTCGGTTATGAGGTCCCTGATTTGATAGAGTCAGGTAGGATTTCATAGTGGTTTTTTTTTTATACTAAACACATCTCTTCCTTTTGAGATCAAGAAACATCCCTGCATTAAAAATGCCTAATTTACCAGAAGAAATCCAGAGAGGCTTTGCTGCTGCCATCTGAAACCCTTCTCCCCGACAACTCTGGTCTAGACGCCTGTGGTTTTGGGGTCAGAGGACTAGGTTTGTGTCCCAGTTCTGCCTTTTCCTAACTATGTGATCTGTGGTCTGAAATTTCCCTCGTCTTCATTTGTTACATGAGATCATGCTACTGACATCGTGGGGCTGTTTTGAAAGCAGTGTCTATGGCCTCCATAGACATGTATTCTTTTCCCAGCAAAGCCAAAGTCCTTTGAAATAATAATAATGGGTAATGATAACAGTTAGCACTTAACTCTTTTGATCTGAGAGTCAAATAATGGCAAGGTGGGGTAGAAAAAGGGCTGGACCTGGGTAAGTTTACTCACTGAAGCAAGAAGGCTTTCGGTTACCTCTAAGAAAGAAGGAGACCTGTTTGGAAGAGACACCGTGACTGCTATGAAACTCGGGGAACTTCCTGATGGTGAACTTCAGTCCTGTTTGTCCCTTTATTTACTATAGTTGACAGCACATTTAAAGAGCAGCAGGAGCCAAGGAGACTAAAACTCTATTTGGTTCTAGACAATTTGCCTTGTTCTGTGGTGTTCAAAGCACACTAGTGAGTAATCAACATGATTCTCCAAAGTAACCCAGTCTGGGGATTTCTTAATGCGGATACCATCATCCTCTTTTACAAGAAAAAGAATTTGTGTTTCCAGGAGATGAAATGACTTGCCCAAGACCTCACAGCAGCATAGTGAGTCACTTAAGCAAATCTCTTTTCAATAATACCAAGCCATTATCCCATTGGTGTTTAGCCCCTAAGTGCTGTCTGACTCTTTTGTGACCCCATGGACTGTAGCCATCCAGGCTCCTCTGTCTGTGGGATTTCCCAGGCAAGAATACTGCAGTGGATCTCCCCAGGGGATCTCCCCAGTCCAGGGACCTAACCTGCTCTTCTGCATTGGCAGGCAGGCCTTCACCACTGAGCCACCGCAGATGCCCTCAGGAGAAGTTTGCTGTTCAGTTGCTAAGTCACGTTCCACTCTTTGGGACCCCATGGACTGCAGCATTCCAGGCTTCCCTGTCCTTCACTGTCTCCAGGAATTTGCTCAAACTCATGTTCATTGAAACAATGATGCCATCCAACCATCTCATTCTCTGTCGCCCCCATCTTCTCCTGCCCTCAATCTTTCCCAGCATCAGGGTCTTTTCCAATGAGTCAGCTCTTTGAATCAGGTGGCCAAAGTATTGTAATTTCGGCTTCAGCATCAGTCCTTCCAATGTGTATTCAGGGTTGATTTCCTTTATCATTGACTGGTTTGATCTCCTTGCTGTTCAAGGGGCTCTGAAGAATCTTCTCCAGCACCACAATTCAAAAGCATCAGTTCTTTGACATCAGCCTTCTTTATGGTCCAACTCTCACATCCATACATGACTACTGGAAAAAATAGTCATAGCTTTGACTGTATGACCATTGTTGGCAAAGTGATGTCTCTGGTTTTTAATATGCTGTCTTGGTTTGCCATAGCTTTTCTTCCAAGGAGCAAGTGTCTTTTAATTCCATGGCTGCAGTCACTGTCTGCATTGATTTTGGAGCTCAAGAGAATAAAGTCTGTTACTGTTTCCATTTTTTCCCCATTTATTTGCTGTGAAGTGATGGGACCAGATGTCATTGTCTTAGTTCTCTGAATGTTGAGTTTTAAGCCAGATTTTTCATGTTCCTCTTTCACCTTCATCAAGAGGCTCATTGGTTCCTCTTCATTTTCTGCCTTAGAGTGGTATCATCTGCATATCTGAGGTTGTTGATATTTCTCTGAGGAATCTTAATTCCAGCTGGTGATTCATCCAGCCCAGCATTTCACATGATGTACTCTGCATATAAGTTAAATAAGGAGAGTGACAATATACAGTCTTGATGCACTCCTTTCCCAATTTTGCACCAGTCTGTTAGTCAATGTCTGGTTCTTACTGCAGCTTCTTGCATACAGGTGTCTCAAGAGATATGTGAAGTGTTTTCCACAGTTTCCTGTGATCCATACAGTTGAAGACTTTAACATTGTCAATGAAACGGAAGTAGATAGATGTTTTTCTGAAAATCTCTTGCTTTTTATATAATCCAAAGGAAGCTTGTAATTTGATCTCTGCTTCCTCTTCCTTTTCTAAATCCAACTTGTACATCAGGAAGTTGTCAGTTCACATATTGCTAAAGCCAAGTTTGAAGGATTTTGAGCGTTACCTTGCTAGCATGTGAAATGAGCACAATGTATGGTCATTTGAATGTTCTTTGGCATTTCCCTTCTTTGTGGTTGGGATGCAAATTGACCTTTTCCAGTTCTGTGGCCACTGTAGAGTTTTCCAAATTTGCTGACATATCAAGGGTAGCTCTTTAACAGCACCATCTTTTAGGATTTAAACAGTTTAGCTGGAATTCCATCACCTCCACTAGCTTAGTTCATAGTAACGCTTCCTAAGAGCCACTTGAATTCACACTCCAAGAAAAGGTAACTTGTTCTTATTTATCAACCTTATGAGTTAAGTATCGTTATTCCTATTTTGGGGCTTCCCAAGTGGCTCAGTGGTAAAGAATCCACCAGCCAATGCAGGAGACACAGAAGACTCTGGTTTGATCCATGTGTCCAAAAGATCCCCTGAAGGAGGAAATGGCAACCCACACCAGTATTCTTGCCTGGAAAATCCCATGAACAGAGGAACCTGGCTGGCTACAGTTCACGAGGTGACAGAGTCACACATCTCCTAGCAACTTAGCACACACACACATTCCTATTTTAGAGACGAAGAAATGAAATTCACCTAAGGAAAAGTTTCTTGTTGGAAGCAAAACTGCTGAAAATCAGAAGGAAGACATTTACATAAAGTGTTAGTCAGAGGTTCCAATTCTTTCAGTATTACTAACACAAAAACAACACTCAAGCAAAGCAACCCAGTGCTAACATAGATGATGAATTGAATGCTGGACATGACTTCATGTGTGGTAAATCATATTGATCAAGAAAAGGAGGAATATTCCAGCAGTTTAGGCTACAGAAGGAGTGGTAACAGTCAGGGACCCAGGTTTCAGAAAGTACTGATGCAACCACAGGGCTGCAGGGATGGGAGGATCTCAGTCAAATAAGGAGGACGGTCATCAGAGTTCAGTCTACAAAGTGAAGAGCTGAGACACCAGTTTGTTTCCAGTAAAGATGGTAGGGGTGCATGGGTGTGAATGTGAAAAGGCCATTTGATGTTCTCTGTCCAGGGCATTATTACCAGCATTGTTAGGTGTCACACTGACAGGGTAGTACCATAGGTAATTACATATCATTGCTGAATATATATAGATTAATTGGCATAAATGCTACTGAGTAGCTCCAAAAGAGCAAACATGGAGGATGTGCATCAAGAATATTCTCCACGTGTTAACAATGATTAGAGCTGGACAATGGTCTGTGGGTTTGCAAAGCTATTTTCTGTACATGTGTGTGGTTCAAACTTTTCACCATTAAAAAAAGAAAGTGTGAAGGTGATTAACCAACAAGGACCTACTGTATAGAAGGTCCTTGTTGTTTATTCATAGAACTCTGCATAGTGCTATGTGGCAGTCTGGGTGGGAGGGGAGTTTGGAGAAAAATGGATACATGTATATATGGCTGAGCCTCTCTGCTGTCCACCTGAAACTATCACGATATTGTTAATCAACTATACTCCAATACAAAATGAAGAGTTTTTTAAAAAAGTCTGAAGGCATCATGCTGTACTGGAAAAATGCGCAGGAGAAAAGGCACCAGAGTATTCATTTTGATTACATCATGGGCACTGGAATAATGGAATATTGAAAGAATATTGATACTATGACTATACAAGAAATACTAATTTGCTCTGTTTCCCATTCATGGCACAGAGCTCCTAAAACCGTTGCAATTTCCTGAGAGATGACAGTGACAGGGAGTCTTTTTATCATGTGGGGGAGGTGACTAGGAAACACTCAACCTAACCCCAAAATGAGGTTGGTTGCCTGGGTAACCAACACTTGATTAGGGAGTGGGGATCTTCATTTCCATCTTTCCCCTTCCCTGCGCCCACAACTCAGAGAGGGGAGAGGGGTGGGGAGTGAATCCAACACAAATGCCTAAAGATTTAATGATTCATGATTTTTGATGAAGACGCCACAGAAACCTTAACAGGGCAAGTCATTCACGTTCTAAAGAACTGCGATCTACCCTAGGAACCACACGGGTACACACTGCCCCACGGCTCCCTGGGCCACGGCAGCACCTGCCCAGGGGCCTCTGTCTCTGCTCTTATTTCCGAGGAGCCGCTCTCCGCTCTGCAAACTCAGGGATCCTCTTAAAACTTCAGTCCTATCGCGTGGCTTCCAGGACCAATCCCTCAGTGACTCCCCAGCTCTCCCAGAGTCAAATTCGGATTCTGATAAAGTCCTACAAGGCTCCTCACGTCCTGCCCCCACGGCCTCTCTGCCTCATCCCCTCCCATCCCCTCCCCTCACCCACTCAGCTCCAGCCACCCTGGTCTGGACTGCTGGGCAAACACACCAGGCTCATTTTTGGCAGCCTTTGCTCAAGGCCTTCTTACTACAGAGTGTTTTCCTCACCCTCTAAGCCTCATGAATCCCCATCACTCTCTTAATTCACGGCATTCATCACCATCTGCCATAGGATTTTCCCCTGTCTTCACTGTCTGTCAGCCTCTTAGAAGGCATATTATTTTACTTTATTTTGTTTACAGCTGGTTCCTTACACCAAGAAATATGCCTTGTAGGGCAAAAAGCACAAATATTTGATAAATATTTTTCAAGTAAATGAATCTTCCATTTCATACTCAAGTCAAGTGCATAGTTAATAAAGAGATGGGATATAATAAAATTTCTGTTAGTCTATTTGATAATGAGACTTGTCTATATAATTTTGAGCCTCCTCTAACATCCTATAGCCTGATAGGCTAATGAAATAGTAATCTGACGGGACAGCAGGGTGAAGCACCTTGCATTGATTAATATTGTACCAACCTGGAAAGAACAGTCTTTGCACCTTGAGCAAACTAGGAAGTACTGCATTTCTTGCTCTTACTGCAGTCGCCTCTGGAGGGATGAAGTTCAGCTGTCTCTCAAAGTTTTGATTAATTACATAACAGAGAAATGATCATTATTTGACACATAAATTCCTTTTGAATGGGTGGTGAGGAAATGTAGATAGACAAGTGTTTGAGACTAAAACATTTTGGTGGAAAATGGACATCATTGTCCATGAATTTGCAAACTTTTACACTCATGACCAGTAATCCTTTCAAAAAAACTCACGTAACCTGGTCTCCCTGTTCAGATGAGGTAATGATAGATGACTTGCCACACAACACACAGCATGTGAGTGGCAGGATCAGGACAAGACACTGTTCTGTCACAATCCACTTAATCGAGTACCTGATTCTGCCAGGAATTCTGATAATGCATAGAACTAGAAAGGGGTTCTGAGTGTTCTGCCCCACATAAGATAGTCCCAGAGCCCCTGACCCTCACACCAGACACAAATGGGAGAGAAGAGTGAGTTTGGGTTTTTTTCCCAGACTCGAAATATGCAGGGTCTCTGCAAACAGCAACCAGTTCCACAATACCCACTGAAATTCCAGGAGTCAAGTCACTTCTGACACTGAACCCCTAGAGGCGACCCAGACCACACAGGGTGAGGGCTCCATTTCTGTGGTCGTTTACACAATTGACCAGTGAGCTATAAACTCAGAGGTGATATGACCCACTTCCCACATTCAATAACTTATTCGAATTACTCAGAGAACTCAGGAAAGCCCTTTACTTACTGTCCCCAGTTATAATAAAGCATAAAGAAATGTAGATGTGTAGGGCAAATGGGGACTCTGGGGTGCTGAACCTCCAAGCCCTCTCAGGACTTTTCCCTCTTGCAATCTCTTGAAATGTTCGCTTCCCCTGAGACTCTCTGAACCCAGTATTCAGGGTTTTAATGGAGGGTTGGAGGTAGACAAGCTAACAGAATCATTGGCCATTGGTGACTGCACTCAGTATCAGTATCCTCTCCCCTCCCCAGAGGGACTGGGAGTTGATAGTTCTAACCCTCTAAGCACCCGATGGCATGTTCTAGAGTCCAGTCCCATCCAGACACTATCTAGGTTTCCATCCTAGACTTATCTCATGACTTACAGAGAGACAGTAATTTCCAAGTCTCAGGAAGCCTGGGCATGAACAAGGACAGAGAACAAAAGTGGATCTAGTGATTACACTACATGGAGGTGTACACAGAAGGTTGTGTCCAGGAAGGAAGGGTTTCAGTGATGGGGTCCCTCATCTGCTGGAGTTAGTTGGAGTACTTTTGTTTAAAAAACCGAACACATAGTAATATCTTTTAAGAGTCAAAAACTGTTCATGGAGTTAAACTGCCCACTTCCCAGAAGAAATCCAGAGATGGTTGGCAGCACTCACCCCACCCAAACAACCCAACCCCTTCCATGGACTCCCGTCATCCCCTGCCTCCAGAGAGGAGAGATGAGCCTGGACTTGCCCTGGCCCTGGTTGCTAGTTTCACACCCTGGTATACCGGCCACAGGGGTGCCCAGGAGGGTGAGAAGGGTTGCCAAAAAGCAGAGCTGGCTTATCGTCATGGCCTTGCAGGAGGGCTCCTGAGGAGAGATGGCAGCTGACTGAGCTTCTCACACCCCAGTTCAGTGACTGGAAGAGACACAAGGAGGGGAGTGAGGACGAGAAAGGCCCGGGGTCAGTATTGTACAGTGTGTGCTCACCTCACTATCCATTGTCCTGCTTCAGCCTGCCTGGGATAAATGCCCAGTATAAGTACTTCTTAAACTTGACTTTGCTGTGGGTCTCAGAAACATGTTTTGTGGTTGTACAGGTGGAACTTTGCCCAGTATGGTCACCCAGGGAGGATCCTAGCACCTAGACCAGGGCATGGCAAGTGATGGACAATCAGTGAGGGCGTAAGAGCAAACCACAGGATGAATAAGTGAACAGCAGTGTATGAGCTCAGGTCCTCCTTTTTGGCCCCTTGTTGGGGTCATCACGTCTGGGCATAAATTACCACCACCCTCTGCCCCCACCCCCCTTCCTAGCTCAGAAGACCAGTGTGAAACAGACTCCTTTCTGCATCCATTGCTCCAGCGTCTCTACTGGATGGAGACTTGCTCTTTACCTGGCTGTTCCCTGCAGGAACTTAGCTAGGAAAGTGATGTCCTGCTGGGGCAGCAACCCTGTTTTCTATTTCAAATAAGGAGTAAGGGAAGGGAGCAGAGGGGAAGGAGGGAGCTGCACACATCTCCACAGCCTGACCACTTGCCGTTCTTCACCTGGTTTCACAAACAGGAGAGCTGTCTGCCTGAGTGGACTTCAGAGGCTTTGGAAGTTTGCCCACAACCACCCACTTCCTCCTCCTCTCTCCCGCAATGGTTTTGGGGTCACACGGCCTCCTTTTTATGACCAGCTCTGCCTTTTCCTATCTTTGTGTCTGCAGATGGAAATCTCCCAGAGTCCTCCTGGTCTGTCAGGTGAGGTCAGCACTGCCCACATCACGGGGTTGCTATGGAAGCAATGGACACAACAGACATATGTTCCTTCTCCCTGAGAAGTCAGAGTCCTTTGTAGTATTAATAATAATAATAATATGAGTAATCACAACAGATAAAAGGTAATTTCTTTTATATATCAGTCATTATCCTAGCACTTGACACATATTTACAGATTTAATTCTCAAAAACCCTAAATGAGGGGATAAGGAAGTATTGATAAGTCCTCATGTTACAGAGGAGGAAACTGAGCTACACAAAATAAAGTAAGTTGGTTACAGTCATCAAGTGGGGAGAGAGGTTTTGAACCCAGGGATCTGGCTGCAGAGTTTGGGCACATGCACGCTGCTGCCTTGATAGCTGTTATCTACAGGGGAGGTGTGAGGGGCGACATACCCACAGCCCCTTCACTCACTCCTGTATATTCACTGCCAGTTACAGTCACATAGCCCTAGCCTCCCTCCAACTCATCTGCACTCAGACAAGCATTTTCCACTCATGTGCACACACGCACGTGCACACACACACAGACACACAGACACACAGACACACACACACACACACACACACACACCCTGTGCTCCACTCCAGGCTCAAGGAGGAGGGAGCCGGGCTCAATGCCCAGAAGCCCCAGGAGCAAGTCCAGCCAAACGTCAAGCAGGCCCAGAGCTGGGTGATGAGCTGAGAGGACACGGTGGGCTGCCTTCCTGCACAGACACCCTTTCCCTGGAGAAGGGCAGGAGCTCTCAATACCGAGCTGCCCCAGGACAGAAGGGCATCGGGAGTGGGTAACTCACTGAACAAGCCACTGTGAGTGGAGGGTCTGCTCTCTCCTGAGACATCTCACATGCATGATTTCATTTAGCCTCAAGTCAGTCCTACAGCAACTGGGATTCTCATCCCATTGTGTCAAGGAGAAAGCACAGGCTCAGAGGTAAAGCCACTTGCCTGGGACACAAACCTGCAGATGGTACAACAAGGATTCTAGTTCAGGAGGCCCTCTTGTGCTTCTCCTCTACCTGCCTCAGTCTCTGCATCTGAGACCAAGGAGTAGCAGAGACTCCCCTTAATATCAGAAACTCCTCTTTTCTTCCCCCTCCTCTCTCATCTGTCTTTTTCTCCCAGTGTCCCCCTCTCATGTTCCCCCCCTCACTCTGGTCCAAGTTAGAGACCTCAAGATCCACGAGCCCCCTGATGGGCCAGTTCTCCCTCCCCCTCACCCCTCCCTGCTCATGGAAGTGCGGTCTCTAATTAGAAACATTCCTGGCCCCTGCAGGCTTCTTTACAGAAATTACAGGACAGGAACAAAACTATAGCTGACTTCTGGATGAAGACAAGTGATCTAAACCTCTGGAATCCCAGATCATATCTGTGTTTCTTTTTTTCTCCGTTTCTCCTTCTGAAAAAAAGACAATCTAGGATTCCATGCTATCTAAGGCTGCATGTTCAAATGGATGGAATGATCTTGGGGCAGACAGAAGATATTTAGATATTTGAGGTGCTGTGCCCTCTGAGAGGTACATTCATATTCAAGTAATAAGTGACCATTTTCTCACAACATGATAAAACAGCACCTTAGTGTTTGGACCACATAGTATGTTTCTTAAAGATTATCATCAGGATTAAACAGAAAAGCATAAACCAGAGGTTGCAAAACTGGCTGGAATATATGTATGGTGAACCCACAGAGTATTATTTTACCATTTTAAACATTTATACAATTTCACAATGGGAAATTTCATATAAAAAAATTTATATGAATGCTGGAAAAAGTTAACAAACTGGCATCACAGTCCTGTAATTTAACAAGGGCCAAGGGTCTAATACTTGCGTGAGCATCAGAATCCCTTAGCCATTTGGTCAAACACAGATTTTAGATCTTCATCCCCAGAGTTTTGGTTCAGGAGCACAGAGTGGGGCCTGAGTAGCTGCATTAACAAGGTTCCCCAGGTGCTGAGCGTGCTGCCCAAAGGACCACACTTTGAAAACCATACAGTAAACTGAAGAAAGCGGTTCTATTCTCAGGAGGGGAGCATTCTCTCCAGTTTCCATAATCACCATGATTCTTTATGGTTCCCATGCTTCCATTTATATTACTCACATGGCCTGGAGCACATTTAAAATTGTGACTGTCATGTGGGCTCACAGGAAGTATTGAAAAAGAGATAGCTTCTTCTTTAACAATCTTAACACCTAAGTATTATTATTCTTTTTTGAGATGAAGATGCCGAACTACAGCGATGGAAAAGTGACTTGCTGGAAAGACAAATTGCTGAAAATCAGGAGGAAGACATTTGCCTGTTAGCCAAGTGTCTCCTGTTAGTCAACGTCACTAATACACAAGCATACAAATACCACCCATGCAAATCTATTTGATATTAACACAGATGATGCATCAAAAGATTTTGGACATGACTTCATGAATGTCAATCACATTTATGAGAATATGAGCTGGTCCCAGCCTTTCTGGCAGCATCCAGGCAGCCACGTTCCCAAGGCTCTCAAAGTGCTAGTGGGTGGAGGATGAAGGTTGGGATGTAGAGACAAAGAAAATTGCAAGAATCATGAATTCACATCCCAGGCTCTACTTTCACTGCAGTCACGAGGAGCTTTTCTCCTGCATTGTTCCCATACTTACTTCTATATTTATGGACTGTAACCTATGTACCTGGAACTGTGCATGGCTCTAGGGATAAAGGGAAGTCTTGCTCTCATGGTGCTTAGAATCAACTGGATGAGACAGGAGTAAAGCAAGTAGTATATGGGAGAGAGGAAAGAGAGATTTCTGCTGAGGAAGGTAGTGTTGAGAAGCAAGAGGGAAAGGCTGAATACTATCAGAAGCAGCCAGAACTCAGCCCTGATTGGGTGCTCCTTGGACTTCAACATCTCAGGGGAGCCCAGTTCCCACGGCCTCTGCAAAAGGAGAGGAACTTGCTGATTGAATCTCTGAAGCCCCAGACCCAGACACTGTGTACCTGGATAGGACCTAAACCATCCTGGAAATGAGCAACCACAGTGCTCTCAGGATCACAGTGACCACCAAGAAGGAAGTAATTTTTAATTATTTAAGGAAGGAGTTTTGAGTCCTACCTTCTACTTTTCCCTGCCCCCACACCTCAAAGAAAGGAGAGGGTTTGGAGAGTGAGTCCATCACAAATGGCTAAAGATTTAATGAATCATGACTGTGATGAAGCCTCCACCGAAGCCTCAACAGAGCAAATTATTCATGCTTTTCTAGTGAACTGAGATCGACCCAGGGAACAATACGGGTACACACTCCATCATGGCCCCCTAGACCACTGCAGCAGCCTGCCCAGGGGCCTCTGTCTCTGCCCTTTGCCCCTTAGAAGCCATTCTTCAGCTGCAGCTGCAGGGTCCTGTTTCAAAGTGAATCCTAGCCTATGGCCCCCATGACCAACCCCTCAGCGACTCTGGTTTTCTGAGAGTCAGATCCTGATTCTTAAAGTTCTAAAAGGCTCTCCGTGATCTGTCCCCATAGCCTCTCTGTCTGGTCCCCTTCTGCTTTACCCCTCCTCAATCCACTTGGCTCCAGTCACCCTGGTCCTGTCTGCCTCTCAAACACACTAAGCACATTTTTTGACAGACTCTGCTCAATGCCTCTTTATCACAGAGGGTTTCCCTGACCCTCTACCACCTTCTGAATCCCCATCACTCCCTTTCTTCACGACTCTCAAGACCTGGCATAGGATTTTCCCATTTTTATTGTCTGTCTCCCTCCTAGAAGGATATATATATATATATTTGGTTTTTTTTTTTTACTGTAATTTGTTTATAGCTGTTTCTCTACTCAAGAAACTATGTTCTTGGAACCAAAAGGATAAACTTTGATAAATATTTCTAAGTAAGTGACTCTCTTATTTAATACTCATACTAAGTGCCCCATCATTGAAGAGAATGGATGAAGTAAAATTCCTGTGAGTCTCTATGATGATGAACCCTGTCTATATAATTATGCATGTAACTGTCATCAATATCATTATAGGAAAATAAAATATAGTCTGATGGGACACAAGAGGAAGAGCATTGAGTCTTGACTAACATTGTACCAGCATGGAAAAAACAGTCTTGACCCCTCAAGCAAACTCAAGGAAGTACTGCATTTTGCTCTGCCTGCAGTTAGCTTTGGAGGGAGTGGCCCTCATAATCAACAAGAGTCTGAAATGCAGTACTTGAGTACAACTTAAAAAATGACAGCATGTTCTCGGTTTGTTTCCAAGGCAAGCCATTTGACATCACAGTAATTCAAGTCTATCCCCCTACCACTGATGCTGAAGAAACTGAAATTGACCAGCTCTATGAAGACATAGAAGAACTCTGACAACTAACAACAACAACAAAAATGTTCTATTCATCACTGGAGATTGGAATTCAAAAGTAGGAAATCAAGAGATACTTGGAGTGACAGGCAAGCAAGCTTGGCCTTGGAGAACAAAATGAAACAAGGCAACTAACTGAATTCTGCTGAGAGAATGCCTGGTCATAGCCAGTACCCTTTCTCAACAACACAAGAGACAATTTTACACATGGACATCAACAAATGGTCAACACTGAAAAATTGGTTTCGTTCTTTGTAGCTGAAGATGGAGAAACTGTGTAGAGTTAGTAAAAACAAGACCTGAAACTGACTGTGGCTCCGATCATCAGAATCTTATAACAAAATTTAGGCTTAGACTAAAGAAAGCCAGAAAACTACTAGGCCAACCAAGTATGACTTAAATCCCATCCACTGTGAATATATAGTAGAGGCAACAGATAGATTCAAGGGATTAGAACTTGTAAACAGTGTGCCTGAAGACTTATATTCAGAGGTCCGTAATACTGTACAGGAGACAACAAACAAAACTATTCCAAAGAAAAATAAAAGCAGGAAGACAAAACAGAGTATTTCAGTGGTCTCGGGCTGGAAACATTGAAAAGTTCCAGTCTTATCATTATTTATACCAAAGAAAGCAAAGCTCAGAGATGTTGAGAATTTGCCCAAGACTGGAAAGATATGAAAAACAGCACCAACACCCTGTGGGTTCTCATTTATTCAAATACTAATATACTACTTGCGGAGGTCTCCATGACAAATTTTACTAATCTGTGGTGAAACAGATACTGTCTATTTCCAAAGTTGCCTTCATTCAAAATCTTCCCAGAAGCAGAGCAGGAAAGCATCATCAAAGTCCCTCTGCTTGGGAGAGCAAGGACCTGTCATGTTAGGGACTGCATACAGCAGCTAAGTGCCATCCCTACACCTCCATTTCCTCCCTTGATGGATTCTTAGCATGATTAATGGGAAAATGTAGGCAAAATGCTAACACAGAGCCAGGGATATGAAACAGTATTTGACCTTTCTTTAGCTGAAGTATGACGCCTCCTCCCCACATATGACCTCAGGGAATCAGATTTCTTAGATAAGTGGACAACTCAGTCTCATACCCACTCTCCTTCTGAGAGTCAGGAAGACAACCTGCTCCCCAGTTTGACTGAGATTAAAAGTAACAAGGAAAGGTTGTCAAGTTGGCGTGTGTATCTCACAGGGTTATCTGTAGCTTGTGATGCTATTAAGGAGTCTATGATGGTATAATGGGTTTGCTTCCTATACCCAATAGGGCACAGTCTCTGGAAAGGGGAATGGGAGGTGCCCACTGTCTACAGAACAGATAGGAGGGCCACCATTTCCATGGACACTATTTGTTAAGGTTTGTAATTATAAACAACAGACTCCACTCCAGTCAGTTTAATTTTGAATATACATTTACTGAAATATAAACCATAGTATTTGAAGCTACAGAAATGAAAATTGCAACATCATTGTGTGGAAAAGGAGCTTTTTCAAACCAAACTCTTCTCTCATTACTGATGTTGAGAACTGGATGCTGGAAATTCCACCTTGGCCACGTACAAGGAGAGCAGTGATGGTGGGCAGGGGGATGATGGTGAGGATGCCTTGAGGATGGAGGTGAAAACAAAAATTCTGTGTTACACAGCAGGCTTTGCAGTTACTCTGGTCATGAGGACTGTGCTACTACATTTCTTCCGTCTTTCCTCAAATAACTATAAACTGTCTTATTGGTGTCAGGAACGGTGTGAAGTGCTAGGGGTAAAGGGAAGACATGCTCTCATGGTGCTGAGAACCAGCTGGTAGAGACAGAATTAGACATGTTGACCAATGGAGGAAAGGAAAAGGCAGGCTCTGCTGAGGAGGGTAGGGCCGAGAAGGACTGTGAGGAGACTGAAGAGGTTCAGGTGCAGCCACAGCCCAGCCCGGCAGGGGTCCTCCTCAGACTTCAGCGTTCCTGAATCCACTCTTCGCGTGTCCTCTGCAAAAAGAAAGGAACTTGTTGAGTGCCATCAGTGTAGCCCCAGACATGGACAATGGTTAACTTAATAGATCCCATATTTTCAAAAAAATTTGGAACCACATTCCTGAATCACGAACAAGAAGGAAGTGAGTTTTCCAAGACTACGTAGGGCACCCAGAAGCACTGCAGACCTGCCCTGGAGGGTGGCTGAATCACTGTCCCAGCTGAGAAAGGGGAGCATGTGATCAGGCTGAGATGACCACAAAGAGGCATCAGGGGTTGACCTCCTGCCATTCTCTCCCTGGAGACCTCGCTCAGTGTGGGTTTCACAGGACACTGCAGCCTCTCCTCCTGGCAGCAGAGAGGAGGAGGACACTGTGCAGGGTGAATGGTGTGTGGCCCCCTGAGCTCCATCTATTTCCCCAGTTCTCCCCCTCCTCTGATGCCCTGCCCCCTGTCTTACCACAGGGACCCAGCCTCTTGAGAGCAGGTCTTCATGCAGTCCTCTAATTTTTCAAAGTTGTTTGCATTTCCTTCACAGCCACCATACACAAACTGCTCACAGAGGCCGGTCTGGGCATTGTAGAAGTACCTGGTCATCATGGTATTGCAGCTACCTGTTACTTTAGGCTCCAGGCAGAAGGCAGGCTTAGAAGCTACTGGAAGGAGAGGGGCAATGGCTCAGTTATGAGGATGTTCATCACAACTCCATACAAGGACAACAACTAGAACCCCCAGTTTGTTTGCCATAGAGAATGTTGAGGCTGTGGAGGAATGCAAGATTGAAAAGACCATTTGAAAACCTCCTTTCTGGGACAGAATCATGAATGTTGCTAGGGGTGACCTGATATTGTAATCATGTACAAACATATATCTTCTCATGAAGTCTTTTAAGGAAGTTTGGTATAATGCCTTTGAATAGCCTTAAATCATCTGTAAGACTTCTGAGGTTGTACAGTGGTTAAGAATTTGGCTTCCAATATTGGAGTCCTAGGTTCAATCCCTTGTCAGGAAACTAAACTCTCAAATGCTGTAGACACTAAGGTAGCGGGGCATAAATTCTTTATATTCATGATTGGTAACCTGTTCAAAGAATCCATGTAACATATTTCCCCTCTGCAGATGAAGAAACTGCAGATAACTTTCCCCAGGAACAGAGCATGTGGGTGGTAGAGTTAGGACAAATTGCTATGATGTCACAATTCATCTGATACAATACCTGATTCTACCAGGAATTCAGAAAATACAGTTCACTTGTAAGAGTATCTGGAGTCAGTGTCCTACGTTCATCACTTCCTTGTACCCAAGGTAACAATAGCCCCCAGTCACGGGTCAGAGTAAGCCTGGGTTTCTCCTAACACAAACCTGTGATGTCTCTACCATCAACCAATTCCCCAACACCCACTTGGTGTCCCCCATTCAATTGACATCTGATATGAAATTCAAGGAGTTAGTGCAGACCCCACAGGTTGAGCACACAGGACTGTCCTCAGTTTAGTGCCAGACACATGGTTCCCACTTACTTTTGCTTGTGACCAAGTGGATAAAATGGGGAAGTCCATGACCTCACCTCCATGTTCAATAACTGACCAAACTGAGGAAAACACTTACTTGTTGTTCTCAGATGAATATACATGACACATTCACAAAGAGTGAGATGGAGGAGACATGTAGGGCAAAGAGGAGGGACTGTGTGTGTGGAGCTTCCATGCCCTTGTGAGCACAGCACCCTCACAATCGTATTCACCACCCTGAAAGCTCTCTGAACCTATGTGTTTATGCACTGTTGAGGTTTCGAGAAATAGGCATACTGATTGAATCATTGGTCATTGGTGACTGATCTGAATCTCTGTGTCCTTCCCTCTTCCCCGAGGTGCAGAAACTACAAACCTTTATTCTCCTCATTGAGTGTTGAGTATTCAATCTTGAGTGTTTGGTATTCCTCTAGTGTATGGTTATCGAATTGTATTCCAGAAATCATCACCTGACCTATGAAAGAGAGTACATTTCAAGAGTTTTTAGGAGGCCTGCTTCATGAAACAAGAAATGGATGAAACATGGACAAGATAGAAATAGTCAAAAGACAGCAAGGGAAAGAACCTGGAGAATTTTGTAATATTGTCTCAGCCATGGTCCCACATCCTACAGCACAAAGGCTGTTTCTGGTTTCCCTGAAGTTTCCTTGTTCCGTAGCTCAAAGTCTTTTGATTAACTTTAATAATACAGAATAAACACTATTTGATAAAGAAATATTTTTACTTGGCCAAAGCAAGTAGGTAGGCAGAAAATTTTTTTTCAGAGGAACACATTATGGTAGAAAACAGACAAATCTGGCCATGACATGTGAACAAAGTCTTTCCATTCATAATTCATCATCTATTTGAAGAACTCATGGAATATATTTCCCCTGTTCAGATGAGGAAAGTGCAGATGACTTGCCCCATCATACAAGCCTGTGGGTGGACTAGTCACGACAAGACACAGCCATGTCACAACCCCTTTGATACACTATTGATTGGCTAGGAACTCGAAAAAACAGAGAACTAGTGAGAGCTTCCAGGTCCAGGGTCTTACTTTCTCTATTTACCTCTCCCCAAGCCTTGCATGAGCCCTCAAATCACAGGGGAGGGTGCATCTGGGATTCTCCTGACACCAAACACATGGTTTTTCCACCAACCATCCAAACCACAGCCAAGGGGCAGAGCACTGTCAATTGACTTCTGATACCGTATCTGTGGAGTTAGTGCCAATGCCACAGGTTGAGTTATCAACACTGCCCTGACTTCAGATGCCAGCCATGTGGTCTTGCCTTATTGTGCTTCTAACCAAGAGACTGAAAGTTGTACTTCCCATGACCCCAACTCCATGCTCAAAAATTCAATCGAACCAGCGACCAAACTCAGGAATTCTCTTACTCGTCATCCTCACTTTAAGGTACAGGATAAAATCAGAAACAGTGAAATGGAGGAGATCTTTAGGGCACGGGAGGAGTGGAGGTGAGTGGGGCTTCCATGCCATGTTGAGCCCAGCACCCTCACCTCAGGACCATTTGTTCTCTCTTCACAAGCTCTCTGAGCCATTATTTATGGATTTTTACTGAGCTTTCACTCAGTAGGCATATGTATTGAATTGTCAACCAGTGGTGACTAATCTCAGTCTCAGTGCCCTCCTCTCTCCCCATAGGTGCAGAAAATTCAAACCTTTAATTGCTTTATTGATAATTTCAGCCAATCCTGTTAGTATACTGGCTCCCTCTTTGACAATCTTGGTACCTATAAGAAAAGATATCAAAATTTTTAGGAATATTGGACCATGAACCAGGACAAATTTCAAATATAGAAAAATCATAGGCAAAAGTGGAAAAAGGGAAAGGCTGGGAGAATTCGTTAATATTGTAGAGCCTTGGTCCCAGGAGCCCAAGGAAGCAGGTAGAGAAATCTTTTCATGAATATCAGTTCAGTTCATGAATATACCCTGGTGGAAAATGAGCAAATTTGGCCATGAAATGAGAATAAGCTGTTTAGTTTTTTGATTGCTAGAGTTTCAAAGAACTCATTTAGCACTGATCTACTGTTCAGATGAGGACTACAGATGACTTGCCTGAGGACACATGGCATGAGGGTGATAGAGTTTGAACAAGATACTTCCCTGTCAAAACCCACTTGAAATACTCTTCCCTTCTGTCAGGAACTCTGAAAATATCGATAAATGCTGAGAGCTTCTGGGTACAGTGTCCTGCTTTCATTACTCCCCTGCCTCCAGGATTCACTTGAGCTCCCAAAGCACAGGGAGAGTGAGTCTGGGTTTCCCTGACACCAATATGTGGTCTCTAGAAACAGCACGCCATTTGGAGAAGGAAATGGCAACCCACTCCAGTATTCTCGCCTGGAGAATCCCAGGTACAGAGGAGCCCAGTGGGCTGCCATCTATGGGGTCACACGTGCCAGACACGACTGAAGCGACTTAGCAGCAGCAGCATAAACAACATGCATTCCTCCAAACACCCACTGGGTGTCCAACATGGCAATTTAACTCTTGACAGCAAATCCAGGGAGTTAGTACAGATGGTGTAAGTTGAGGGCTCAGAACTGTCCTCAGTTCAGAAGCCAGTCATGTTATCCTGAGTCACTCTGGATTTGACAAAGTGTCTAAAACTGGCAAGTTCCATTACCCCACTCCATGTTCAATAACTCAGTAAATCTGATGACCATACTCAGGAATACCACTCACAATAGGGATGTCATGTTTCATGAAGGATAAATCTAAACAGAGTAAAATGAGTGAGAGGTGCAGGGCAAAGTGGAAGTGGAGGTGTGGGGAGCCTCCATGCCCTAGAGAACACAGGACCTCATATCACTGCCGTGTGTTACCACCCCAAATGCTCTCTGAATGCCCACATTCATGGATTCTTATTGAGGTTTCATTAAACAGGTATTATGATTGAATCATAGGCCAGTGGTGCCTGTTCTCAATCTCAGGGCCATCTCCTCTCCCCAGAGTTGCAGAAAGTTCACACCTGTAGCCACACCATCGATGATACTTGTAACCACATCTATTACTGAACGCTTCTCAAGTCCCCTTCTATGGCTTGTCTCCACACCTATGAAAGACAGTAAATTCCAAATTTCAGGAAGCCTGGGACATGAACCAAGTAAGGGTCAAATATGCAAATAAAATAGTAGTCAACACTGGACAAGGGAGGGAACAAATATGGATAATAAAATGATAGTCAAAAGGGGACATGGGAAAGGGCCTGGAAACTTTCCTAATAATGTCTCAGCTTTGGAATCAAGAGTCATTTTATAAGGGCTCTTTGCTACATTCCCAGCAGAACATCAACCCACCTTTTTAAATTATTTTTCATGAAAGAGGAATCCTCATTATTTGACACCTAAATGTTCTTTCTTGCCCAAAGTAAGACGGTAAAGACATGTTTTTAGATAACACATCTTGGGGGAACATGCACAAAATTCACAATGAAATATTTATGCCCTGTTGAAGCTTCGAAAAATAGGCTGATTGATTGAATCATTTGTCATTGATCAGAATCTCAGTGCCCTTCCGTGATTCCCGAGGTGCATAATCTACAAACCTGTATTGTCCTCACTGAGTGTTGAGTATTCAATACTGAGTTTTGGCAATTCCTCCAGTGTATAGTTATCGAATTGTATTCTGGAAATCATCACCTGACCTATGAAAGAGAATAAATTTGAAGAGTTTCAGGAGGCCTGGCCCATGAAACAGGAAAAGGATCAAACATGGATAAGAAAATGACAGTCAAAAGACAACAAGGGAAAGGGCCTGGAGACTTTCCTTAAACTGAATCAGCCCACAAGGGCTATGTTTCTTGTTTCCCTGCTTTCACTTCTGTATGGTTCAATGTCTTTTGATGGTTTTAGTAACACAGGAATAAACATTATTTGATAAAGAAACATTTTAACTTGGCTAAAGTAAGTAGGTAAGTAGAGAAATTTGTTCAGATCAACACTTACTGGTGGAAAATGGACAAACCTGGCCATATTTCATGAACAAAGTCTTTCCATTCATAACTCTTCATCTATTCAAAGAACTCATAGAATATGTTTCCTCTGTTCAGATGAGGGAACTGCAGATGACTTGCCCCAGGATACAGGCCTGTGTGTAACCTGGTCAGAACTATATACTACCATGTCACAACCCATTGGGTACACTATTGATTGGCTAGAAACTCAAAAATACAGAAAACTGGTGAGAGTTTCCAGGTCCTTGGTCTCACTTTCTCTACTCACCTCTCCCCTGGCCTTACATGAGGCCTCAAATCACAGGGATGGGTGAGTCTGGGTTTTTTTCCTGACACAAAATACATGCTTTTTTCACCAAACATACAATGCCCAACAGCCAAGGGGCAGACCAAGGTCAATTGACTTCTGATCCCATATTTGTGGAGTTAATGCTGATGCCACAGGTTGAGTTATCAAGACTGCCCTGACTTCAGATGCCAGCCATGCAGTCTGCATTATCATGATTCTGACCAAGACACTGAAAGTTGAACTTTCCATGACCCCAACTCCATGCTCAAAAACTCAATCGAACCAGCGACCAAACTAAGGAAACCTCTTACTCACTCTCCTCACATTAAGGTTCAGGATAAAATCAGAAACAGTAAAGTGGAGGAGATCTTTAGGGCACGGGAGGAGTGGAGGTGAGCGGGGCTTCCATGCCCTCCTGAACAGAGCACCCTCACCTCAGGACCGTTTGTTCCCCCCTCATAAGCTCTCTGAGCCAATATTTACGGATTTTTACTGAACTTTCACTCAACACACATAAGCATTGAAATGTCAGCCAGTGGTTACTGATCTTAGTCTCAGTGCTCTCCTCTCTCCCCATAGGTGCAGAAAATTCAAACCTTTAATTGCTTTATTGATAATTTCAGCCAATCCTGTTAGTATAGTGACTCCCTTTTTGACAATCTTGGTACCTAGGAAAGAAAAGATTTCAAAATATTCAGAAATATTGGACCATGAATGAGTACAAGTTTCAAATATGGAAAATAAATTATAGGCAAAAGAGGACAAAGGAAAAGGCTTGGAGAATTTGCTAATATTGTACTGGACTTGGTCCCAGGAGCCCAAGGAAGCAGGTAGAGGAATCTTTTCATGAATCTATCCTGGTGGAAAATGAGCAAACTTGGCCATGAAATGAGAAAAATCGGTTTAGTTTTATTGCTGCCAAATTTTAAAGAACTCATTTAGCACTGATCTACTGTTAAGATGAGGACTATAGATGACTTGCCTGAGGACACATGGCATGAGGGTGACAGGGTCCAACAAGATGTTTCCCTGCCAGAACCCTCCTGATGTACTATCCTCTTCTGTCAGGAACTCTGAACATATCGGTAAGTGCTGAGAGCTTCTGGGTGCAGTGTCCTACCTTCATTACTCCCCTGTCCCCAGGACTCACCTGAGCTCCCAAAGCTCAGGGAGAGTGAGTCTGGGTTTCCCTGACACCAAATCTGTGGTGTCTCTAGAAACAACATGCCATTCCTCCAAACAGCCACTGAGTGCCCAACATGGCAATTTAATTCTGACAGGAAATGCAGGGAG